GGATTTTGTTTGGCAAAAAAAAAAGTATGTCTCTTAATGGTTCTGAAACTCTCTGAATGATTTTGTTTATTGGGCATACCTTAACCATTCAGCACCCTAATTTCATTGCAAACATTTACCAAACAATTATATTTCATTTTGCACTATATCATGAGAGCCTCTTAATCATTTTGACTATTTAATCATTATGCGTAAAACCATTCAGCAACTGTCAAACAATCCCTAAGTTGATACATATACTTTGTTTGTTAACATTAATAACATATTTGTACCAAAATAAATTTTCACAATAAAAAAAGACGTACACTTTTAAAATATACAATTATTACACGTTTTAATTAACAAAAGAACAATTTTACCTTTAACTATAAAGGGATAAATTTTATCTACAATAAAATGAAAAAAAATAGACATGTACTTTTATAAACGAATATTTATTTTAATATTTTAAAACAAACTAAAATAATAATGTAAACATTGATATAAGACGAAAGAAGTATCAACTAAAAAATAATTGTCAAAATACCAACGATGACTTGAGATCATGTGAGAACAACCTGTTTTCATAAGGTCATTTAAATAACACCAAACCTTTGCAATAAGACATTGTTAAGAGAATTTTTCATAGGGGCAGCAAAAAAATACCCAACCCAAAATTAGTAGGTTGAGTTGAGATTTCCAACCCATTTAAATAAATGGGTCAACCCGACTAACTCATTTAAATAAATGAGTAAGGTTGAGTTGATTTTTTTGACCTGTTTTCAATCTATTTAAAATATTATATAGTTTTATTTTATTCTTAATGTTATATCTAGTATTCTAATTTTTAATTTTGTTTTATTCTTAATTAAAAATCATACTGTCGTGAGATGAAACTCCAAATTTCAATTATCTCCATTACTCTTAATCATCATGAAACCCTAAGAAAACTCTTTAGTCCATTATTCAATTATCACCTCGAAAGTTCAATCCAACATATTTTGAACAATATATTTGTTGTGGTTGTATTTTATTCAAACTTTGAATAATTTGTTTTTATTTGTGGTTGTGTTATGTTTTATTCAAAAAATAAATAATAGTCTAGTCATTTTTTTTAATTAAAATTAAATGGGTCAACTCATATTCAACCTATTTATTTAACAAGTTGAGTTAAAAAAATCGTAAACAGGTTAACCCATAGTCAACCCATTTAGATAACAAGTCGGGTTAGGTTGAAAAATCTCAACCCATTTAATTAAATGGGTTGGATTGGGTTAAAATTTTAAACATGTTTAATAAATGAGTTGAACCCGAACCTAACCCAACCTAACTCATTGTCACCCCTAATTTTTCACATGTATTTTTACTATACAAATCCAGTGTTGCTTTATGGTAGGTCTCATAAAAAAAACTGGTTAACCTACCAATTAGGAATGCTCAAAATACTGACTAACCCGACCCGGTCAATCCAAAAAAACTTACAACACTTCAACCCAATGTCACTCAACGCATAGTTGATACAGAATTAGACCAAACCACATCAATTGGGTTGGAATTGAGTTGAGATAATTTGAACCGACTCAACCCTGAAACCGGTGTCTTTTATGTATTATGGATTTAACATGGTTGTCAAGTACTTGATTAATATATGTACATTAGACGTTAGACCAACCTGCAATTTACTATATTCAAAATTATATTACAATTTCAATCGTAATTTTACTTTCTTATTTGCATGAAATTTCAACCTCTTTTTGAGTTTATTAGTTTTTTTTGTATGTTCTCATTTTGATTTTATTTCATTTAAACAAAACGTTTAGCTAAATTATAAAATGATGTACCAACGATTCAACCCGACCAACCGAACCTGGACGATTTGGACTGGGTTGGGTTGGGTTGGTTAAGTTAAAAAATTTTAAACGCAGACATTAAATTAAGTTGTTCAAATATCTTCAACCGGATCAACATAATCCATATAAGACCCAACTACCAATTAGGGGTGCTCATGAGTTGAGTTGATCGGGTTGAACACATTTTGCAGTTTGGAAAATTTTTAACCCAACCTAACCTAAAGTGCAACCCAACCCAGCCCGTACGGATTTGTCGGGTTGATACTTTAGTATATTAAAATATTATTCTAACCATGGATATGTTAATTCTCTACTCATAATTTCTTTTTCATCATCAACCATTTGATACAACTTATCCATATTTATTACGTATATCACATTCAGTTAATTTTCTCAATTTACATATATATGTTCACATTTAATTAACATATATATGAATGAGTTATATAGAGACATTAATAGATTGAAAATATGTGTATATGAAAAGCATAGATGCTAGTGTAATTGTCTAAAATATATATTAATATAAATTCAACAATCATATCAAATTCAACAAATAAAAGGATATCGGGTTCATCTTCAATATCAATCCAATACTTATGGTTTGACAATTTTACAACTCGATTAGATATCAAATTGTTTCGAGTTAAATTATTTCATATTAAGTTAAGTTGAATTGATCTGGTTTTTGAACCAATGAAACGTAATCTCATCTAACGTTAAAAAGGGTCGATTCTTTTTTAACTCCCAAAGTGAAAAAACATCGATCTTTTACCATTTATACTAACTGGGTTTCACTCGGCTTTCTCTGACTCCAAGATAGCTTCTCACAGCCACTGCTACAATAATTAGGCCATTTATTATTGTATGTATTCATTCATACACACATATATATACAAATATTGTATGTATTCTCTCTCTTCCATAGCCACAGCTATTTGCCCTCTCTCTCTCTCTCTCTCCATCTTGAAAAGATCGTTTCCTCTCACTCTTACGATCTTTATTTTAGACCCCATCTGATCTGACTCTGAACAGATGACTTATTATTGATCTTCTTCAGCTTTCAATCAGAACCCAGAAAACAGAGCATCCGGAAGCAACGAAGGTAACGGCTTGTTGACAGCAACCAAACCCTAAAATATAGATTGATTAATGTTCACAATACTTTGAGTTTGACTTTTTTTTTCAAGATATCTAACATGGGTTTTGCTTGTGCTGTACGTTGTTATCTGGTTTGTGAAATAGATACAGATATGGAAATCTTATCAGATCCCAGTATTTAAATCTTAATGCTATGGCTTTTTAGGGTTTTGACTATCTTTCTTCAATTTGGGGTTTTGGGGTTTATGGTGATGATGAAGATCTGAGTTGCTTTTGATTCTTCTTGGTTTTATGGATTTTGCTCTTTGCTTCATGAGTAAGTGGTTCCTCAAATATATATATATATATATATATATATATATATATACATATATGGTCAGGCTCAAACTGCAAAAAGAAAATGAAAAACACATATGCATACACGTAACTTGTAAGCAATTTGTCCGGTATGAACATGTGCATACATTCCAGATAAATGGTTACGAGGTGTTTTTTAGTTTTTCATTTCTTTTGGGTTTTCCTGAACCTCCCTGTACATATATATTTGATTGATTTTGGAACTTGTATTCATGTTATTCAAATGGATATGCTACTGATGCCTGGGAATCAAATTGGGGTTTATAGAGCTTATTTGATAAGGTTAACTCTTCAAGCATGTTCTGATGAATTGGTTTAGTTTCTGATATTAAGTTCCTTCCCTGTGTTTTGGAATCTAAAAGACAAATTTGTATAAATAATCGAACCAAACGAAACGAACACAGTAAATTCCACATGTAGGGTCTGTGGAGGGTAAGATGCAGCCGGACCTTATCTCAGAGCATTAGAGAGATTGTTTCCGTGAAGACTGTTTTGAGTTTTCTTGGACAATATATATCTCACACTAAGGGGCTGTTTGGTTGGTTTTCTTTGAGTTCGGTTTGGATAAAGCTGTATGTGTGGATTAATCTGTCTGTATGGATTGCGAAGGTTTTTGTTTGGAAGAGTTTTTTCATAGATGAAAGGAGCGTGTTTGAAAAATAACTTGGCTTTCTGCACAAAGCTCCCTTAGAAGCTTACTGAATAAGCCACTTTCTATATCATTAAGCCACTACCAAATAGTCATGTATAGCTGACCGAATAAGTTGTGAGTCCCATTAAGCTCATTAAGCTGCTAACAAATATGCCCCAAGTCCTGTATGGATAAAGCTGACTGTGTGAATTAATCTGTTTGTATAGATTGGGAGGGTTTTTGTTTGAAAGGATTTCTTTATAGATGGTAGGGGTGTGTTTTTAATTGGGAGGGGCAGGTTTGAAAAAAACTTGGCCTTTTGCATTAAGATCCCTGTAGAAGCTTACTGAATAAGCCACTACCAATCATGTATAGCTGACCGAATAAACTGTGAGTCCTGTTAAGCTCATTAAGCTTTTAACAAATAGGCCCTAAAGAAACACCATGATGCTTTGGTTATATACGGTTTTGTGATTTAGTCTGAAAAGAATTATTTGTAAACAAATGGCTTCAATATGTATATGATGATTTTGTTTTTGTTTTTGTGAATCAGGATTTAGTTTCATTCTCGTAACTTGGCATCAACGGTATGCTCATGTCAAACTTGGATCGTTATAGTTCAAGATTGACATGAAGGTGGTTATGATTGTGACCACAACTAGTGTCAAAATCTTGCTATGCCAACAGTTGTCATGTGATTGAAACCACTTTGACCAGATCTCCGCCATCAGCCGCCTCGGTTTCGTTCTTGATTGCAATTGGCCAAGTTTTTGTCTACATTCCACGCCAGAGATCACTAACATCATAGATACGCTTTGAAGATTAACGTATCCGTTGATTGGGCAGTCACATGACTGCAATTTTGGTTCGCTATTAGTATTATAACAGTTATTTCTGAAATGGAGACGGATGCTATGATCACGAAACCCCAACCACGAATGACACGTAGGCTGCTTCCAGCCGTTTTACCTGTGCTTTTTGTAGCAATCACATATGTTGATCCCGGAAAATGGGTTGCAGCCATTGAGGGAGGAGCCCGTTTTGGCTATGATCTTATCCTACTTATGTTTGTTTTTAGTTTGGCTGCTGTTCTCTGTCATTACCTCTCGGCTTGTATTGCCGTGGTCACTGGAAGAGATCTTGCCCAGGTATTTTCTGTCGTATTACTGTTATGAAGTTCACCTAGTTTTTTTGCTGCTTCTAATTGACGTGTTTGGTTTTCTGAAAATTTGATTAGTTTCTAGAATAATGACGCGTTTCTTTGCTGTATTCAGGAAAACGTTGTTTGAGCTCTTTAACATTTTGATCACTACACATTCATGGGTATAAATGGATGTGGTTACAAGTGATATGAATTTGAAATCAGATAAAACTCCCATATGTATTCATCATTCATCTGTGAATATATAATGAATGTTCATCATCAATTCAACTAGATAGGTAAATCATGTGTCCCAGGGTCAAGTGCGTGGTTTTCGTAGTTGAACACTAAACCTTCCACTCATTCTGCAAGGATGCCCAACTGCTTACCTGCTAGTAGGGGTGTTCATCAGTTGAAATCCAATGGATTTAGGTAGACCCGATTTGATCCAATCATCCATTGGATGTTGGATTTTGTCATCCCATCCAATCCAATTAACATTGGACATTCGATCCAATCGAATGGATGATTGGATCAGATCGGTTCCATCCATTAGATATTACTATTGGTTATCTATTGGATCGAATTAGGTTCATCCAATATTTTGATCCAATTTTCAACCAATTATTCATACATTTTTGTAACTTATTGAAAAACAATGCATATAAATATCAACTAGAAAACAATGCCATAATATTGTTAATAATTATATGTAGTTACTAATAGAGTGGTAGTTGGATAATAATTGGATAGTCATTGGATTTGATCAGTTCGGTTTTATTGGATGCTGAACTGCCATCCAAGAACCGACTAATCCAGTTTGGATGTTGAAATTTTGGATCCGATTCTATCCAATTACAATTGGATATCCGATTATGGTCGGTCGGTTTAAATTGAATAAGATGATTTTCTATACACCCCAACCTGCTAGACTAAAACTGTGGGGACACACATGCATTTGGTATCTAGGCAGATATGTGCTAATCTATCTTGCTTGACAAAACCTCTAGTTGTGCTATCTTTTGTGTGTAATAGTTTTATGGTTGGTTGATCAAATCACTTTTAATTTCTTTATGATGATGTAGATTTGCAGTGCGGAATATGACATGATCACATGCATATTCTTGGGGGTTCAAGTCGAACTATCTATGATTGCTTTGGATCTCTCTATGGTAGCTTCTATCCCTTTTTGATTATACTCGTTTCTTTTATAATTCTACATACTAATGTACACACTACCTGTTTCAAAAGATTTTGGGCATTGCACATGCGCTTAATCTTACATTTGGCATCGGTCTCTTTACTTGTGTCCTTTTGACTTCTCTCGACGCCTTCCTATTTCCGTTCTTCTCCAATTTGTTGGTAAGCTCGATCTTCTATCTTCTCGATTGCTTATATATGTTTTCGTTGACCAATGTTGGTTGACACAATGAGGTCTATTTTTTAGGAGACCGGCAAAGCAAAGTTCCTATGCATGTGGTTGGCAACCGTTGCCTTACTTTCTTACCTCTTTGGAGTGGTCATGAGCCAAAGGGATACATCGCTCTCCGTGGGCGGGATGCTTACGAAATTTAGTGGGGAAAGTGCATTCACGTTGATGAGTCTCCTCGGTGCAAGCATCATGCCTCATAACTTTTATCTCCATTCATCCATGGTGCAGGTATATCTTTTATCTTTTCTTTTGAAGTATATATTTATATACGGAAAATATTCACAACATTTTTCACCTTTGGTGAGGCTTGAACCCGTGACCTCCAGTGCAGTGAGGTTGGGAGATCTACCGGTAATCCGGATACCACCGGGATAATAACCTTTTGGTTATATCTTTATCTTTCTAGCACAAATTATTAAAGGATACAGGTGTGTGATATATGGATATCGGGACTCGGAGAATCTATAAGTTTAAGGACATAGAGATGCATATATATATATATATATATAGTATATAGGGACCTAATCAAATGAGAACTAATTAGTTTGTGGTAACTGTGAGAACCAATATTAACCACAAATCAATAGATAAATTAGGAAATTTATAATTTTGGCAATTTTGAATTAAAATATTAATGCAAGGATATTTTTGGTATTTTAAAACTTTCCTCCCTCCTCTCTTCTCTCTCCGGCCACCGTCCTCCGGTGATACTACAATGGTATCACAATGCATCATATTTGTGCTTGGGTATCACATTGATGTCGTTTGTGTGGTCGATCGAAGATGTAACACAGTGGTATCACTATGCATCTTATATATGATTAGGTATCACAATGTATCTTTTGTTTAACAGAGTCAATATTTTTAGGTATCACAGTGGTATCATAGTGGTATCACCGGAGGACGGTGGCCGGAGAGAGAAGAGAGGAGAGAGGAGAGTTTTAAAATACCAAAAATATCCTTGCATTAAGATTTTAATTTAAAATTACCAAATTTATAAATTTCCTAATTTATCTATTGATTTGTGGTTAATATTGGTTCTCACAGTTACCACAAACAACTCAATTCTCCCTTGAATAGGCCCCTAKATATATATATATATATATATATATATATAKAGAGAGAGAGAGAGAGAGAGAGAGAGAGTGAGGTTTAGTGGAAAACCCTCCAAAACATGAAAAACTAAAGAACACTCTGATAACCATTCAAATGTAGAGTATGGACATGTGCATATAAGTAATTGAAGATGTTTTTTGGTATCTATACACATGTACATATAAATATAGATAAACCGACATTAAACTAGGAGTCTAATTTGGTAATGGGCAGTTCATTTTTCTAGTTAATTTTAGGATCGCAACTCAATTGTTCATTGAATGAATTTATAATAAGTCTTCCTCAGATGAATAAAGAGATGTACATACCAGACACACAAAGTACTTACAATGTACTTGTATGCACATGGGAATACCATTCAGATGAATGGTTAACAGGTTGTTCCTCATTTTTTCATCTTTTTGCACTTTTCTTCTGAACCTGACCCTATATATAATACATGTACGTAAAACATTTACTATATGATCTTAAAATCTATTAAATTTCAAATTCATTACATATTATTGCATATGCACAACTTCTTAAAGCCTCACGTTTGAATTCCATAAAACTAGCTGATAAACACGTTGAAATACATAGTAAACGTTGAGTCCTACTAATATAGAAGTAGAGTTGGGTTACGTTGAGAAGGAGATTGAGGTGAGAAGCATAAGAAGATATCTCCACCCTTTGATGATTGAGATGCATCGGATCAATCCCCGTATCAAGCACGATTCATGGGTTTGAGATTAAAGGTGATCAAGAGTCCAGATCCCTTTTTACGCTTCTCATCTTAACTCTCTTTCTCACACATTCCTTCTCCTATAGAAGAATACCTCATAAGTTTTGGATTTTATTTTTTAATAAGGAATTACATTAATTTTTCATTCTCGGTTTACAATAAAATTTTACATCCCAAGCCTTTTCAATTGTCTTACGAAGGGGTAATTTAGGTATTTGATTATTAGTCAAAGACTCGTTAAAACCATATGCGAAGTTAAACTTCATTGAGCTTGTGCTTGATTATATTGTTGCAGAATCAGGGATCAACGCAAGTTACAAAGGGAGATCTGTGTCACGACCATCTTTACGCCATTGCCTGCGTGTTCAGCGGCATTTTTCTCGTTAATTACGTTCTCATGAACTCGGCAGCAAACGTTTTCTACAGCACCGGTCTCGATTTGCTTACTTTCCAAGATGCATTGTCTCTAATGGACCAGGTTATGGTGCTATAAACAAGTTTATCTTGTCAAATTCTTGTATGTCAATCATGAACGGTTTTTGAATAATCCGAGTTTTTGATCGATGCAGGTATTCAGGAGCTTTTTGGCTCCTTTCGCTTTAATTCTTGTTCTGTTGCTTTCGAATCATACTACAGCATTGACTTGGAAATTCAGCGGACAAGCCGTCCTCCGTAATTTTTTCAAAATCGACATTCCCGGTTGGTGTCATCACTCGACGATAAGATTAATTGCCGTGATTCCCGCCTTATTGTGTGCGTGGCATTGGGGAGCCGAAGGTACTTATCAGCTGCTGCTGTTTACTCAGATTGTGGTGGCTCTTTTGCTTCCATCATCCGTGATCCCACTTTTTCGTGTTGCTTCATCGAGATCGGTAATGGGTGTGAATAAAATCTCTCAGTTTCTAGAGTATTTGGTCTTGATCACGTATATCGGGATGCTCGGCCTCGCGATTGTGTTCGTGGTGGAGATGGTGTTTGGAAACAGCGATTGGGCAAATAATATGAGGTGGACGATGGGGAGCGGGATGTCGGTCCCATATATCGTAGTTCTTGTGGCTGCGTTTTTTTCCATCTCGCTTATGCTTTGGCTTGTTGTGACGCCTTTGAAATCATCAAGTTTGAGATCCGATGCTCAGAAGTGGGACGTTCAAGAGATTGTGCCCGAACCGGAATCATCGTTTGTTAAAGAGCCGAGAGAAAAGCTAGAATCCTCGGCCCATGAGAAGCCGTTGGAGTGTGATTCTGATTGTGATTTTAGTTTGCCGGAGGAACTCCTAGACTACGATAATGGCTCGAATCTGACTACGATCGAAGAAAACTCTTTTGATCCCGTGATTTCATCGCAGCCGGATGAACCTGCGACGATAGTGGAAAGTGTCTCGAGCCCAGTTGATACTTGTCTGGTTTCTGATGAGAGCGTTTTGAAGAAGGAAGACGACGATTTAGTTGAAAAGACGTTGAGAATTGATGGGAATATGCGGATTGTGAAAGACCATGAGCGAGAAATTTGGGAACCTGAAGAACCACCAAAAATGGTGTCGGGTACGAACCAATCTCCGACCTCTAACGGGCCAGGGTCGTTCAGGAGTCTTGGCGGAAAAATCGACGACATCGGGAGCGGGCCCGGAAGTCTTTCCAAGCTAGCGGGGTTAGGCCGTGCTGCAAGACGCCAATTAGCCACAACGCTAGACGATTTCTGGAAACTTCTATTCGATTTGCACGGGGAAGCAACGCAAGGCGCCAAGACGAACAAACTGGACAAGTTGCTCGGGATAGATTCGAAACCGAACACAAAGGCTAGCCCTGCTGCTTTGAAAACTGCTAACCTTGTTGACAATGAGTTTAACGGCTACAACCCGCCTATGACTAGCGGATTATCCGATTCGGTTTACGGGGTGCCACGGGGGTCTTCTTCTTTGTTGTCGAGCTATCAGCAATTACTAGATGCATATGCACAGAACCCGGCCCTCGGTGCGATGGATCCCGAGAAACGCTACCATAGTCTCCGACTTCCACAAGCTTCGGGTGCGCCCATTGATCAGCCGGCTACGGTTCACGGGTATCAGATAAAGTCGTACATAAATCAAACTAAACAAAGAAGTTCCGACTACTTTCACAACCAAGTGGAGCCGGTATCTCCTAAATTAGCGTCGCTCGTTTCTGTGAACTACAAAGCTCCTGTTTCTATGACGAAAACTCAACAAAACGGGCTAAGACCCGCAAAGCCACCGGGTTTTCCAGATCCCGTTGTATCTAGGAACAGCTCGATGCAACCCGACAGAAATAATCACAATCTTCATCCCCCGGGCCCGGTTGAGAACGTGCACGAGAAGAAGTATTACAGCATGCCGGATATCTCGGGACTCCTTCCTCATCGGGATTCGAAGATGTTACCTGAAAGGGATGGTGCCACGAGATACGGAACTCTTGGGCAATCGGTGTATTCCAGCCCTTTGTACAGATCGGGGACTATTTCCGGTTATGGTGGATTGTCGTATTCGAATTTATCGAGGGATGCTGCTGCTTACCAGCCGGTTTCCAGTTATGGTTCAGGGTTAGTTTTCGGGTCAGGTTCGGACACTTGGTCCATGTGGTCCAAACAACCGTCTGAGCAATTTGGTGTGGCTGAAAAGGTGAACCCTCGTCCGGGTTTGAACGCTCAAGAAGCGGTCATATCTGCAGTAGATGCTGAAGCTAATCTTCTCAAGTCTTTTAGACTTAGTATTGTGAAACTCTTGAAGCTCGAAGGTTCCGAATGGCTGTTTAAGCAGAACGGTGGTCTAGATGAGGATCTTGTTGACCGGGTGGCAGCACGCGAGCAGTTCCTTTACGAAATCGAGAGCAATGAGTCGAACCGGGTGGCTCGTGGCGGAATGAAAGTTGATGAAGCTGAGTACAACAAGTATCTCGTGACCTCAGTTCCGAATTGTGGCGAGGGTTGTGTTTGGAGAGTCGAGTTGATAAAAAGCTTCGGCGTTTGGTGTATACACCGGATTCTCGAGCTTTCGCTCATGGAAAGCAGGCCGGAGCTTTGGGGGAAGTACACGTACGTTCTCAATCGTCTTCAGGTAAAACATTCTTTATTTTTCGTTCGGGAGAACTCGTATTTCTTAGTCTTTTAAGCAATAAAATCGGCTTTATAGGACGTCAAATATGTCTAAATGTCCTAATAAACTGCTATATAGGATTAAACAATTGTGCCTTTTATGTAAAAGTGTTACACTAAGTTGTTACGTTTTAGGCTACTAACAAATATTTAGGACACCTTTGAAATAAAATGTCTTGTTACCTTTTCTATATGACCCTTTTATTAGAGTAAATTCGTCCGTGTGGTTTGCTAATAATTTCTTTTTTTGTCTCTGTAGTTTAGAAATTGCCATTTTCGTCCTTATGGCTTGCAATTTATTGCTATAAAGTACAAGAGACCCATTAGAGAATTGTAAACCACATTGACCAAAATAACAATAAATTTTAAATTATAAAATGAAAATAGTAACGAATTACAAACCAAGAGGATGAAAACCACAATTTATAAACCAGAGGGACAAAAATTGCAATTTTTAATAAATCACAGGGACTAAAAACATAATTTATTAGAGTACACTTGTTTTTGTGAAAAGCTTTTTGAAATAATATATAAAAAGAGTAGTAGGACACTTTATTTTAAAAATGTACTAAAAAGGTTTAAGAATCCCTAAAAGCGATATATACACTTATTGTAACATTTTCACAAATGACGTACGATTGTTTGGTTTGATCTTGTAAACTTAAGTTCTATAAATCAGTATATTAGGACATTTAAACATATTTGGTGTCCTATAAAACTGGTTTTTGATTTTCGGATAGTTGAATATAGTACTCGTGCTAGTAACTCTGAATTGTCGTTTTCGCTTGTTCAGGGAATAATTGAGCCAGCATTCTCGAAACCTCGTATGCCAACGAGCCCGTGTTTCTGCCTTCAACTTCCGGATTCCTACCAACAGAGATCATCTCCGCCGAAATCACTAACTAGTTTGCCGCCTCCGGCGAAACAGAGCAGAGGGAAATGCACCACCGCTGCCAGTCTCTTGGACATCGTCAAGGACGTGGAGACGGCAATCTCGTGTAGAAAAGGTCGGCCAGGTACTGCTGCTGGTGACGTGGCGTTCCCGAAAGGAAAAGAGAACTTGGCGTCTGTCCTGAAACGGTACAAGCGGCGGTTGGTGGCGGTCGGTGGAGAGGGACATGGTCGGAGCCCGTAAGTCCCCGGCTGCGAGTTTGATCTGTGTGTTAAAGTGGAATCTTTGATCGAGTTGTTTGATATTGATGAACGACTTGATCTTCCACTCTTTGTTAGCTTCCAGGTTTTAGATTATGTTGCAGAATGAAGGGGGGATGATGATGATGATGATGATGGATAATGGATGATGGTGATGGATGATGGATGATGATGGAAGTAGAATAATATGGAACGTTTTTTTGGTAGATCTAAATCAATGTCGTTATGTGGTGTAAATATTTTTATGCTAGCGACACAATGATCTACGATACTATCAACCTCAGACGATTGTTTTTTTTTTTTTTGGAACTTGTTACGTATTTATATATTTTCACGTATTTTTTTAAATAATAAATATGTTATCTGGTTTTTTTTAAAGTATATAATATTTATATATTGCAAATACAACAAATAAACTGACAACCCCATCCTCACATTTGGTGATATTTGAATACCTGATTTTCTAGGAAGTTAAAGACTATGATACCGCTAGATAAAGGCCTTTTCGTTATCTTATTGTACCTAATTTTATATTTTCAGTCTCTCATTCCTCTCTGGACTAAAAAAATGCTCCAAAAGAAGCAGATTGACAGTTTTATCGAATCATCTCTTTTGCAAAATTGGGTAGGGAATGTCGGTGGCTAAAGTAACCTTTCGTTTAGGTAACTTGTGATGAAGTTGGGTTCCAATGAAAAGAGAAGTTATGATGAGAAATGTAAAAAGAAATCTCCACCTTTGGAATCAATCATAATTGAATGTCAATACTAATGAAATATATCATATCAATCCTTGTTCATAGATGTATTTTATATTTTATTGTATTTTTTCTAATTTAAATATTTTTTATGTAATTTTTTCTGAAATCTTTAAAATTTCTAAAATAAAATAACATTTGATAAACTTAAATGATTTTTTATTACTAGAAGGGTATTCGCACAATACAGCGAGATATATCTTGATTTTAATATTTCATTTTATTATTTATCTTAGTCAATGTTATAGTATGAGCTTATGTGATTTTGAAAAAACGATGATTTTTTATTTTTGAATAAAATATAAATTTGAAGATATCATAAAATTTGACAAAGATATATCGATATTAATATCAAAATAATTATTTAAAATTCCTATTTTTTGTGTAATTTTTTAATTCAATTTTTTTATTATAATTTAATTTAGGTTCAATAACGAATTAATTTATATTTGGTTTAATAATATAATTTTCTTATAAAGAATATAATTAATTATTTTGTTAGAACTCGATAATTATCTTAATTATATTTTAGATTTTTTATATTTTAAAATGAGATGTTTATCCTTATTTGATTATGTTTATCTACAGTTAGTTATACTAATTTAAATATGAAACTTTAATAAGTTATACTTATACATAATTTATCTTAAATTTTAAGTAATATGCATCAATATATTATACTTTATATATAAAAAATGATTTTTAATAATTTTTGTTAAATATTTTATAATATAATATAGATTAATCATAAAACAATCATCTTTCTTTTGATTTTAAAAATCATCGACACCACACATCTACGCACTTTCTTGATATATAACAATATTTTAACAGTGGACCTTGTTGCAGCATATCAGACCCCTTTCCCCCAATTATATTCGTCGTTTTCATTCCCGACTTCTGTAATTTGATTTTGTCACTTCCAATCGATTTCCTGCCACCAAGTCGTTAACGATGGCTTCGCAAATTGCGAGACGCCTCCTTCGCCGCCGTGTAACCAATGAAATCTTCATGACGACGACACGAAGCCCTAGTATGGGGCTTTTCTCATCGTTCGATCGGAACTATTCTTCCTGCTCCTCCAATCTGATCCGCGCCACTCTCTTCCCCGGCGACGGTATTGGTCCCGAGATCGCCGAATCCGTCAAGAAGGTCCGGTATCTGTTTACATTTATATTATATGCTTAGATTATGATCTATACGTGTATTCTTGTTCGCTTCAACAATATTGTGATGTTTTGACTTTTGACTCTGTAGGTTTCCATCGTATTATGTCTTTTTCTGTGCTTGTATCATGCTTTCGATTTGAAAGTTCAATTATTTTGTGTCGTTTTCTATTCTAGATGATTTAATAACTGTTAAATTCCTTTTGTACTAATGAATGTAATTGAAGCTAATTTGCACTCCCTTTGATAGAAACCTTGCACTTTGTTGGTTAACCAAACAGTTGATTGTTGAACAAATAATGGAGCTGTCGGCCAGTATCTAACTTACTCTTAAAACTACCTACTTTTTGTTCACTTTTGTGTGTTTACACCCTCTGAGACCTATGAACCTGTTAAAGTCATGGGGGAAGCTGTAGACAAATGCTATTTAATATTAATCCTGTATGATATTATAGTGTCATATCTGAGGAGTCAAGTATAGAGTTCAGTTTGAAACTTGAGGCACCAAAGAAGTTTAAACGCTAGAAAGCTGTACATTTTGGACTTGATCCACAGGAGAGAACTTATACTTTCAAACCCGCCCACCCCCAAGCTAGTCACCGTCACTGTGACACCTTCAAGGCTTCATAATTGATAAATTTTATACTTGTTTATGAGAAATTGTCCTTCCTCTAGTTAAAACGTAAGTTTTATGAAATGCAATAAGGATGAGAGTCAACAACTTTTAGTCAAATACGATGATGTTAGAGAACGACGGATGGGTCATTATGTAAGTTATTCAATGGAGATAATGAGAGAGCATAGGGGATCTTGATGATTCTGATAGATGGTTTGTGAGTAGAATCACATTGTTGGAGGTGAATGTTATAGAGGTTTGGAGAGGCATCGGGGACTTAACCGTAGTACAGCTCTCTAGGTTATTTAGTGTTATCCTTGAGATGAAGAGGAAGCTTGCTTAGTGAGGGAAGTACAGAGGTCACATTCTACAAGAAGAATTTGTATGATGCATGAATTCTTGAGGAGGTGAGGTTATGAGCCCTGAAATTAAACTATGGCAATGGACATAGGCTAAGGGTCGAGAGTAAAGATATACAAATATCAATTTGGTCTTTGCTGCGCTAAAAGTAAGCCAAAAAATAAGAGCTCAAATTATTTCTTTTAGTTTCACTTAGAAAATCGAGTCTTGCAAAAGAGGCCACTCTATGAGGTAAGTCCCTTGGTCGAGTCTTTGTGAGTTCATCCCGAACAAAGTGAATCTGTAACTAATAAGTTTTTATACCCATTTTCTTCTAGTGATGTGATTATGCATCGTTTCTATTTCTTTTCATTTTAGTTGCATCGAACTTGTTAGTTCAGGGGAGATCAACAACAAAAGATCATTTTCTTAATTAGGAAGCTCATAAAGAGATGTAAAGAACATAAAAGAGGATTTGTCCATAGTGTTTGTTGGTTTAGAGAGTATGTTACACATGTGCTAAGAGAAGTGACATGATGGACTCTTTAGAAGAAGAAAATCCCAACGATATATGTTAATGTTATTAAAGACATATGATGGGGAAGTACCGAGTTTGGGAACATGTGGGACAGGGTGAAGTTCTTTCTTATTACTGCCGGGTTACTTTGTGGTGGACCTTTTTTTCGTTATGAGTGAGCTCATTAACATGCAAGATGACACCGTGATGTATGCTATAGGGTTAAAGATTAAGATATATGGAAGAAGGTTGAGGTAAAACATGTGGAAGAGATGTTGAGGGAACACCGCTTGAGATGCTTCAGTCATCTGGCTATAGACCTCTGAATGCACCATCTACAATAGAAGAACTAGTACGGTTGTACCATGAGCATATTGTTAAGAGAGGTAAACGTTGGTCCAGATTGGCGTGGAGGGAAATAGTGAAAAGACATGGAGTAAGTGGAACATACCAAATGAATTGACCTTAGATAACAAGGATATTCATGTCCTGGACCCTTGATTCACCCCTTTTTGTTCCTTTTCTTTTTCTTATTTCATCACATAGTTTAATTGGGCTTGTCTTCAGCCTACCCCTTGTTGTATAATACTTGAGGTTGTTGAAAAATGCTTCAGAGGCAGCCTACAATCCCTTGCAAAGGGACTGTTTATTGTTGATTTTATTTTTTGTTTCAAGTGTGTTTGAATGAAGACAATTTGAGATGATGAAGTTCTGTGTAAGCTATTCTGGAACGTAACTTTCTAGTCATGTTAGCTTTCCCTTCCACATTTTGCAGGTATTCAGTGCTGCAGATGTTCCAATTGAATGGGAAGAACATTTTGTCGGGACAGAAGTTGATCCTAGAACCCAGAGTTTTGTTACATGGGAAAGCCTGGAGTCGGTACGAAGAAATAAAGTTGGCTTAAAAGGCCCAATGGCCACACCGATTGGGAAGGGTCATCGTTCCTTGAACCTTACCTTGAGAAAAGAGTTGAATTTGTATGCAAATGTTAGACCATGCTACAGTCTACCTGGTTACAAGACACGATATGACGATGTAAATCTTGTTACGATCCGTGAAAACACTGAAGGAGAGTACAGTGGTCTTGAACATCAGGTCCGTTTGGTTCATCATAATAAAATGCGTTCAAGTACTTTACCATTTTACAAACCTGATGAGTTTTTGATACCAGGTGGTGAGGGGAGTTGTTGAAAGTCTCAAGATCATTACTCGTCAGGCAAGTCTGAGGGTGGCTGAATATGCTTTTTATTATGCCAAGACCCATGGAAGGAAGAGAGTATCTGCTGTACACAAAGCTAACATCATGCAAAAAACCGATGGTCTATTTTTGAAGGTCTTCCTCCCACCCGGCAATAGAAGAGCTTAAATATTTACATGGCTTATTCCAAGTTGCATTATACTGAATACTGATATTTTTTTTCTCCAACTTACAGTGTTGTCGTGAAGTTGCTGAGAAGTACCCTGAGATAAAGTACGAGGAAGTTGTAATTGACAATTGCTGTATGATGGTAAGAACTCTTATTGCTTTTTTTATATTATATGTCTGATTTTTATTCATTTTAAAATCTGAAAAGAGTTTTAACTAACATTACAATGGATCTGGCAGCAATATCATCTTGAACAGTCCATTAGCACACTATAGTCAAGAAGCACATTGAGATATAACTTGAAAGAAGAAGAAAAAGGACTCATGATTTTATGTTTCTTCAATATACAGCTTGTGAAGAATCCGACACTATTTGATGTTTTAGTAATGCCCAACCTTTACGGTGACATCATTAGTGATCTTTGTGCTGGTCTAATTGGAGGATTGGGCTTAACACCAAGGTATCTGCATTTACTTTGGTTCTATTTATTTTCTACTGTATATATCTCCCTTCCCTTTGGTATGTCGAGCCGATCTTCTCACATCAGTTGACATCATCACCAGCTTAAATATCGGAGAGGGTGGTATTGCTCTTGCTGAGGCTGTTCATGGTTCAGCTCCTGATATTGCTGGAAAGGTTAGCATCAAAGACATTTCATCATTGAAGCATCTTAAATGTGTATTCATATTTTCTATTTTTTCCCGTATTTGCTCTGAATAAATATCTCTGCCACCATATTTCTAAGATTATAACATGGACTTGCCAAAAAATCGAAATTCTTGATCAATGGAGGAACAATATCATCGTTTTTGTTCAATAAGATTCCATAGTGGATGATTGACTCATTCCTCATACTAGAAATAATCTCAAGTAATCCTTTGATAACACGAATTCCTATTTCTCAATGATATTCCACGATCAATACAATTGGCTCAATCCTGTGAAATCATTTCATAGAAGTTCATTGAGATCTTCTATTTATAGAGCATGCCTGCTTAGGGAACCTCTTACCTTTGAACCCTATGCTTTATTCTATCTTCCAGAAGCACAACGGCATATACAGCATACACACCCTATACTTTGAACGGGGTTATCATGCATAGTTCAACCTGCGGAGAATGTGATAAGTTACAAACAGATGATTGTTTTTCCCATCTTAAGGCTATGGCTTGTACCATATTCATAAACAGTTCTAGTTTCGTCAACGGGATTCCATCTTTTTAACTTTGGGCATTCAATAGGTTGCTGAGCACCTTCTATTTCTCTCTGAAGCAGTGGAAAGTAGTACTCCCCCGTCGCAAAATTAATTTTCGCGCTTCTATTTTTGTTTGTCTCTATTTTCAAAAGTATCTACTTTCCCATTTTACCCTTAATTATGAGTTGGAGAAAATTTTCCTCCCTATTATTTAGTTGACTAAAAAGTGTAATAATTGTACATTCCTAACACCATGTGCATTTTTTATCGTGGACATTTATTTTGGGATGGAGGAATTATTATATGGTAAACCAAAGGTCAAGTAAAACAAAAATATGTCACCATCAAAGCATGTCGTTTCCCCCCTGAAAGTGGGCATTCATTCTTTTGTCTGTTAAGGGTGCTGTTTGGTTGGTTTACCATAAAGTCCTGTATGGATTAATCTAGCTGTATGGATTAATCCGTCTATAGATTGGGAAGGTTTTTGTTTGAAAAGGCTTTTTCATAGATGGAAGGAGCGTGTTTTTCAATTGGGAGTGACAGGTTTGGAAAAAGTTGTCTTTCTGCATAAAACTCTTCCCTAGAAACTTAGGGGCTGTTTACCAAATTTTCTATTAAGTCCTGTATGGATAAATTTGTCTGTCTGGATAAATTTGTCTGTCTGGATAAATTTATGTTGTTGTTTACTATTCTATCTGAATCAACAGTCTGAATAACAGAAATGACCAATTTACCCCTTGAGTTTGAACTACGCATTGTTGCTTCTCTCCTCATCTCTCTCGACTTCCATGAACAAAAAACTCAAAAACCAAAATCAAAAACCAAGAACAAAAACCAAAACCTGCATCTCCTTCCTCAACAAAACCTGCATCTCCTCATCTCTCTCGACTTCCATGAACAAAAAACCCAAAATCAAAAACCAAGAACAAAAACCAAAACCTGCATCTCCTTCCTCAACAAAACCTGCATCTCCTCATCTCTCTCGACTTCCATGAACAAAAAACCCAAAAACCAAAATCAAAAACCAAGAACAAAAACCAAAACCTGCATCTCCTTCCTCATAAAAACCTGCATCTCCTCATCTCTCTCGACTTCGATGCATCACCAATCGAAATCCTAATCTCCAAAAGCAATGACGTGAAAACCCCAAAATCGAAATCCTAATACCCAAAATCGAAATCCTAATACCCAAAATCGAAACCCCAAATCGAAATCCTAATACCCCAATCTCCAAAAGCAATGACGTGAAAACCCCTGCGTCACCGAAATCGATTTGAAGTCTGTGCGAAAGACAAGTGGAGGTGAAACCTGTAAACCTGGAGGTGAGTGGCAATGGGAAAAAGAGGCGACAGCGTTGGATGGCAGTGGTGGGCGGAGGAGATCGATGGTTGGTGGTGAACACAGGCAAGGATCGATGGAGAAGAAGGGTAGGGCAAGTCTTTTGGCCGGCTTAATCTGGACAAGTGCCTTTTTTCATCTGGGCGAATAAGCCCATTTCTGAGCGATTAAGCTCAAAGTAAACAGCCTTGAGCGTCTGTGCGAATAAGCCAATTTATCCACTAAGCTCATTAAGCCATAAGTAAACAGGCCCTTACTGAATAAGCCACTTACTAATTCATTAAGCCACTACCAAACAATCATGTATAGTTGACCGAACAAGCTGTGAGTTCCATAAAGCTCATTAAGCCGCTAACAAACAGAGACGAGGATGTTCTTTAAAAGTGCATGCTAAGGTATACGCACACTATAGGGTGACTACTTTATTAGTTAACAACTAGTTGGCAAAACATAGCCTTTACGTTGATCTATAAAGGGACTTCCTTTGATGTCTTGTATACTTTAAGCATCTGTTGTGTTATTTGATGTGACATTATTGAAATAGACATAACATTTGGACATATGTTTGATTCATGTAGAATTTGGCAAACCCGACTGCTTTGCTACTGAGTGCGGTGTCGATGCTTCACCATTTGGATCTTACCGATAAAGCGGATATGATCCAGGATGCTGTCCTGAAGACAATCGCAGAAGGCAAGTACCGGACTGGTGACCTTGGTGGCTCTGCAACAACCACTGAGTTCACCAAGGCCATCATCGGTCATCTTTAAAATGCTGCATTTGCATATAAAATTCGATTCGTTTTCGTTTTCGTTACACACAAACACTAATTTTTCTTCATTAATGTACCATTTGGTATTGGAGTTGTGGGTTGGGAATTTGACCCACAACAAGGTTTTTTTTTAAAATTTGCTGAAAAGAGAGAGGTTATGCAGTTGGCATGGCTTCTATGGGTTGCTATTACTTGTAACTTATCAATAAACATCATGACTTTGAGTTCCCTCATTGCTTTTTTTTGTAGTTCCCATCAGAAAACTACTTCTTGATATTTATTTATTTTGCAAATAAAGACTTTCATTTATGTTATGTTATGTTATGAGTCATGTTTCATTTCTATTTTTTATTTCATTACATGTTATTTTTAAAAAATATTGGTTATTTTATATAAAATGTCGGGTAAAACACTTTTAGAAGGAGTATTTTTTAGGGGATTGGATTTGGTTAAAATGTTTGAAGTCTTTGGTGTGTGGAATTTGAAATGGAATTGGATTCTATTAGTTATAGATAATTTATAAGAACAAAGTATAGGGTCGGTTTTAGAGGAAACCGTAGAAAAATGGAAAATTGAAGAACATTTTAATGATCATTCATTTGAATAGTACTTAGATGTAAATTCAAGTAATTTGTCCGGTGATGTTTCCTGGTTTCTGTGCACGTATGCATACTGAACGAGTTATTTGTATGCACATATGTATATCATATAGATGAATGATTATTAGGATGATTCTTAATTTTTCATTTTTTTTAGTGTTTTCCCATATGACTCTCTCTCTCTCTCTCTATATATATATATATTATATATATTATAGTCTTTTATTAATTGATTATTACAAAACAAATGTTTTCAATATATTTTAGAATATTTTAAAAAACAATTTTTATGATATCTAATAAAATACCAACTACTCTCGTGAGATTTCTAACTCTAATGTTTGTAGATTTCAATTATGGGTCTTTCTTAAACCAACTACGAGATTTTGAATGGAATCCAATTCTAAATACTACCAAACAAGCCTTTGACGAAATGTTTTTAAGAAATTTGAATTTTTGTGAAAGGATTTGGAATATTTGATGATTGTTTTTAAGGATTTGGAATAAACATGAATTCCATTCCTTATATAAAAATAAATTATTACCTTTTTATTAATCGATTTGTTACAAAACAAATGTTTTAACATATTGTAAAACATTATTATAAACAAATACTATAAAATCCTGCAAAATACCAACTACCTGATAAGATTTCTTAAATCCAATATTTGATTGAAATCTCTAGATTTAAACCAAGATAGATGGAATTTATTATCGTTTTTTTTTTCGTTAGTTTCAACAAATTTGAACCTAAATGGCAAGTGACCACATTAACAACGAACTAGAAGGGTATTTTTGTAATGTAACAAGATACATCTTGATTTTAATGTTTCGTTTTTATTGTCACCGTCGATGTTATAATACGATTTTACGTGGTACTGAAAAAATGATAATGTTTTTATTTTTTGAATAATGAAGTACCATAAAATTCTCAAAAAAAATTATCAATTTAGTATCAAATTAAATATTTAAAAATTATTTTTTTAAAGTAATTTTTTTAATTCAATTTTTTTTATTATAATTTAATTTAAATTCAATAATGAAGCCATTTATTTTTGGTTTAATAGTATAACTTTTTTATAAAAATAATAATTAGTATTTTGTTAAAATTCAATGATTATCCTAAATATATTTTTGATTTTTTTATATTTAAAATAACATATCCATCTAGTATTTGATTACATTTTTATCTACAGTTAGTTAAACGAATTCAAACATAGAGTTTTAATAAGTTGTACATATTGAATTCTAAGTAATATGCATCAATAAACAATACTTAATGCATAAAAAATAATTTTTAAGAAATTTTGTCAAATAATTTATAATATAGTATAGGTAAGGCAGGTATATAACAATGCTAATGAATTACATAATAGCAAATACCATTATCATGGTAAAATTATATGCTTTCAAACTCCACAATATATCATAAAAGATTGGATCAGTAAACCGAAACCAATCGTTAATATTCCCCTTTCGTCTAGTATCGGTGACATCAAACATTCAAACCTTTCCGACACGCGAACTTCATTTCACGGACTTCCATGGGCCCGACAAGTATCATGCATCATCGTTGCAAGCTGATCACACACATACATCATATTAGTGGTGTTTCTTCCTCATCTAATCACCATTCACCACTATTCACATGTGAATAACTACATCCAGAAAACACATTCTGCATTTCATAATTTATCAGGGAATACAAACATCTTAATTAAGAACAAGGGAACAAAATCTAGTTGTTCATATAAGTCGAGAGTTCGCTTGGCTGCTCCTGCAACTCGTTCACATAATCAACATTACATAGAATCTCTACATGAATTTTTGCTTTTGCTTCAAACTGCTTAACACTCATCATGCACCATCAATGCAAGCTGATTAAACAAGGATACAAGTGATGATCAGTTCATGCCATGATGCTGTACTTAAAACCGAACCATACATGCCTAGTATGTCTCACCCGGAGGTGGGGTCTGGGAGATAAGATTTAAACAAACCTAACCTCTACACCAAAGAGTAGAACAGTTCTTTCCATGAAGACCCCTGGCTTGAGAAAAGATTGTCAGGTTCAGGGGAAAACAACAAGAAAATGAAAAACTGAGAAACACCCTGTTAACTGTTCATTTAGACAATATGCACATGTGCATACAAGTAATTTGTAAGAAAATATGTCTGGTATGCACATATGCATTTCATGACACGGGCATAAAACTAAGAAACAACTTCAATTACTTGAATGAACATGTGCATATCAGCCAAATGAATGATTACCACGGTGTTCCTCAGTTTTTCATTTTTTTCCCGTGAACCTCCCTCATGAAGTAAAATGGGTTCTATATCCTGGATACCAACCACCACAAACAATAACGAAGGGGAGTGGGAAAGAAAGCAAGTCTCACATGAAATCCGAACAATAAAAATCCATGTCACCCGTATCATAAAATTCAAAATATCAAACCATAATGGCCAGGTAGAATTGTTGGGTTCATAAGTTTTTATATTTCATTATTGATTAAGAAATATAACTCATGGACCTAAATGTTCCCTATTCAAAGAAAAGCTTCACAACATAGACAAATCCAAGGCATCCATCTTTGCTTGTTGATCTTCATCTAGTCTTGTCAACGCCTACAAATGAAGCACACACCACTTTATCAAAGGAAGACTGTAAAGAAAAGAAAAATGAAAACGAAGTCGTTTTTACAAAGACGCAAGTATTTTAATGTATCCCACATAGCCCAAAGCAACAGGCTAGCCCAGTAACCTCTAATTTAGTTTAAAAGTTAAAACCATGGTGAAAGTTATTGGTAGCCCACGACTTTGAACTTATAAGGAGTTCACATATCTACTTTCAGATCCATGTGGCAAGGGGTGGTACATTTTATGACGGTGTAGGATAGGCCATGAAAACATCTCCACCGGTAAAAGAAATGGCAAAAAAGAAGTGAATATGATGCACAGACCAAACATCTAGTTCTTGGAAAAACTTTAGGGAAGTCAAAGATGAGAAAGCAAATGCAAGAATGTTGCTTCCTAGAGTTCATTAAATCCTAGAATTTCCATTGCCTAGATATTGCTAGACCTTTCGTAGACGGAAGGTTTTGTCCCATAAATACCAACTTACCCGGAACTCACGATGGAAAGAACATCAAGGGGAGACCTATGACGCTTCGCTAGATACCTAATCAATAAGAAAAACCCAAATAATTAGGAAATGACTTTGGAGATCCTTATGGATAGGTAAAAGGGGGGTTTGGAGAGATGAACAAAAGCAAGAATCAAGTCACACTAAGAAAACATAGTCGCATTAAATTGGAAGATTTATTTAGTGAAGCTCAAACAATCAAATGGATGATTATTAGAGGGTACACGTACTCCTAAGTCCTAACATAAAGATGGTTCTAGAGTTTGATTTCCCAAGAACTAAGAAGCGACACATGAAAACTCCAATCTTGGAAAAGAAAGCTGAAAATAGCATGGAAATTCAATAAGCCATGCTCAACACCTATTCAAAACGCATATTAAGAACAATCAACATTCGATGAGTAACGTTTGGCACAAAGCAGAGATTTAGTCAATGGATTGCCTTGATGAGAAAAATAAAACCTATAAAACATAGAAAAATATGGGTATTAACACAAATGCAAGGCTTTTGAAGACCACAACGTTGCATTGATAGTTTGCAGCTTTAGATCCATGATCATTAACAAGCTAGAAGAGTCTTTTCTGATTAATTTTAATATCCAAAGAACTATAATCACCACTTAACGCAGAGATCCTAAGATTAAATTGCAAAAACCATCCTCTAATCACTATAAGCACGTAACAATTTTCCACCTCATTCACATATTAAGTTCTATATAATTGCCTACAGCCTCAACCCAGGTCTAGACCTACTACAAGCACAAAACTTGCACAAAATAATGCAATGCAATACACCATGTAAACAACACTCGTCTTAAGAAGCTTAATGAGAGTCACAGCTTATTCAGTCAGCTATATAAGACTGATTGGTAGTGGCTTAATGATATAGCAAGTGGCTTATTCAGTAAGCTTCTAAGGGGAAGCTTTATGCAGCCAAGTTTTTTCCAAACCTGCCCCTCCCAATTAAAAACATGCACATTTCATCTATGAAAAAACTCTGCCAAACAAAAACCTTGCAGATCTATATAGACAGATTAATCCATAAAGACAACTTTATCCATATAGGACTTAATGAAAAACCAAGCAAACAGCCCCTCAATGTGGAGGCATCAATCAAACCCTGAAAATTAGACATAAAAAAAATACAAATGTCAAATTCGAATTAATGAGAAATCGTATTATTACCTTCGGGCAACCAGCCATAACCATTTTGAGAAAGGGTAAGCATGGATGTCATCAAGGCCGAAGCAGTTACATTGTGGAAAGGTTGCATCGATTCCAAACAAGCACTCATTTCTACTGGACAACTGCAGCAAATCCCCAATTGCAATTCCCATTATCACACAAGTAAAGGTAAGAAATCATATGTATGTATCCATATACTCCTTCCATTCCCAAATGGCTACACTTGGATCTAGTACTTTCTATACACAAATTTGACATTGCAAAGCGAAGGAAAATTCAATTAACCTGGCAATTTTATATCGAAATTTTCAAAATCCAAATGAATTTGAACTTGAAAAGTACCACAATCATGGTTTCGAGGACGTAGGAGCATATATGATATAGAATGTGTATAACTATTACCGGAAAATGCGATGGGATAGAGAATTCCGACTAGGGATGCGAAAAGGAGAGGGAGCAGCTTTGGGTTGGGAGGCTACCCTCGCCGCCGCCTTACGGAGAGAAGTTGATCGGAAAACAGATCGAGCTGCGGCAGCTGCAGTCGCCATTTCGTTAGGGATTTGAAGTTTTGGCCCAATTCCTTTTGCCTACAAAGGGTTTTGACCAAAAAAATCTAAAACGCTACTCCACCTTTCAATTTATTTACTTTTTTCATTAAAATTGTTTATTTGTATCTTTAAATTGTTTAATTTTTTATTCTTTAATTAACATTGAAAAGTATTCGTGCAATATAACGAAATACTTTTTTTATTTTAATGTTTCGTTTTATTTTTTATTTATGTTGATATTATATAATTTTGAGAAAGATAATGTTTTTACTTTTGAATAAAATAAATTTAAAAAATTATATCGATATTAATATTAAATTAATTATTTAAAAGTTCTTGTTTTTTATATAATTTATTTATTTCATTTTTTATTATAATTTAATTTAGTTCAAATAGTGAAGTAATTTATTTTTGGTTTAACAATAATTTCTTTATAAAGATAATGATCTTTTAAAACTCTATAATTATCTTAATTATATTTTAGATTTTTTTATATTTAAAATTATATGTTTATTCTATATTTCATTATTTTTGTCTGCAGTTAGTTATACGAATTCAAAAATTGAGCTTTAATAAGTCGTACTTATACAAAATTTACTTGTAATCTTAAATTTTAAGTAATATATGTTACTACACAATACTTCATGCGTAAATAATTATTTTTAAAAGTTTTTATCAAATATTTTATAATATAGTATAGATATAAAATAAGTCAAATTAAATTATGAATTAACAATGTATTTTAATCATATTTTTTAATCTAGAAAACACTATTTATGCATATATTTTTAATAGATTCTTTAAAAAAAATTATATTTAATTTCTTTTTTTATTTACCTATAAAAATCTATAACTTAAAAGATAAAAGAGTGATGAATTAAAGGACCAAAACCGAATAACCAGTTATATCTGAGTCAAAAACGGCTCCAAAAACAAGACTAATCTTTAGAAACCCTTCATTTTGTGCTCTATTTAAACATAATACATCATCTTCTAAATAAAATTCATTTTCATTTTGTGCTCTATTTAAACATGATACAACATCCTTTAAATAGAACTGATTAACTATGAACGTTTTATAAAGTTAAAACTGATTAAACATGAAAAACATCCGAAAAAACAAAAAAATCGTTCAGTCTAACCAAAAACCTCTGCAAAAAGAACGTTGTGGATGCTTTTAAGATATACCGACAAAAGAAAGAATCCAAGACTCAGAGAGAACAAACGATAACCAAAAGCAAGAAAACTGCAAAAATTAAGATTTGCCTGTTTGTTACCAATTTACCATATACATCAGCTTGTCTTCACATTGTAAAGTAACATCTACAAAGGTGAGATATATAGACTAAATTTGTGTACACATTCTATGATTCAGCTGTTGAATATGAACAGATTGACCCTGTACCTCGCTAAGCAACTGGAGGATATCTACTGTACAGTATGTATGCCAACTATCTTGCCCCTTTTCATCCCCATCTCCCCAAAATGCTACCAATGAACACTTGCAAGATCAAGAATTGTTGTAAGTTGAACCCAAGAACGGCAAACCAGCGCAACCCATGTCATAAAAACTCTCAAATTCCAGTGGCAATTCAGGAAGCATGGGCAGTTCTTGATAAATCCCATCATTTAATGGTGTTTGGGGAGTTGAGAGAGCGTGCAATGGCTCGAGAAAAGATGGTTGAGGTTGAGGTGTGGTTGGGAGGTTGTGGAATGATGCAAACAATGAAGGGTTTGATCTTAGATGAGGGGCTGGACCACGTAGTCCTAAACTATGCCCATAGAAACGGCTAGTAGGAACACCGATTGAGCATGGGCTGACTGGTTGTCTTAATGAAGATGCCAGGATTTGAATTGTTCTAACCAAGCTGGTTTCTGCAAAATAGAAATAATGACCAAGTGATGTTGAAAGACTAATAAACGATGAAAAAGATGGCAAAAATGCTAACTGGTGATGTAAGAAAAGTTATCATCTATTTGAAATCTTGTTTCAATCTTATATCCTAATGAGTAAAGATAGGCATTTGGACAACACCGGGCTGGACCAACGGTCCAGGTTGGTCTTTATCCTGCTACATCCATACTGGTCCAGGCTTTTCTCAGATTGCATTGACCAGGCTTTGACAAAAATAGGACCAGTTATGCAACTCCGCTAATGAGTGATGATTTGAACTCGAAATAAATCAACAAATGGGCATGGTTTTCAAACTTTGGGACAAATGGTAGCCAAAAAGTTCCAGCAAAACTGAGAGAACCAAACCATGTCCAAAAGATATACAGGGTCAGGTGATCGTAAAACAATGAAAAACTGAAAAACACCCGGGTAACCTAACCGTTCATTTGGACCGTATGCACACGTGCATACAAGTAATTTGTAAACAATTTGTCTGGTATGCACATGTGCATAACATGCACAGGTGCAAATAAACAACTTCAATTACTTGTATGCATATATGCATACCATCTAGATGAATGGTTACCAATGTGTTCCTTAGTTTTTCCTTTTTTAGAGATTTCCCTCTAAACCTACCTCTCTATCTCTCTCTCTCTCTCTCTATATATATATATACACACACCCAAGGTTCTAAATAGCGCTCAAGCCTTGGAAGCCACAACGAGGTCATGTCGTTTTTCAAAGCATGCCTATGGCAACAAATCTAAATAAAATATAAAATATTATAATATCATATACATACACATATATTTTCTACTGTTATTCAATGAATAAATGATAATAAACAATTTAAATTTAAGTTATATATTAAAAATTATAGAGATTAAAAATATAAGTAATATCAAATATGAGTTAAAAAAACCGTGCATTACGTCATGGCGTGCCTCAAGCATAATATGGCATGAGACACAAGCCTTGAGCCACGGTGCGCCATGGCGGCTGTTGAGGCAAGCATTTTTGAACAATGTATATACCTTTCTCTGTTTTCTCCGGAAGAGGTGCATCGAGAGTATCATCGTAACGAAACCGCGGCATTATCTCGGCCAAAAGTTTATTGCCATACACAAGCTTGCAATCTCTTTCAAGATCCTTCAGTTGGTTTGTTAAACACATCTCAGATTCCTCTATTAATGCATCATACTTCTTGCGTATCTCTGATATCTCTTTCTCACACTCAGAAAGGAGCATCGATTTCTGCAGATAAACAAGAACGTTACAATAAACAGTATAGCAAGTATAGATTATAGAAAAAGTTATGTTCTTCTTGGTAAACCTTTTCTTGAAGTAACTTGGTGGCTTGCTCTCGATCATTCTCAATTCTTTCTAGTTCTGTTTCAAGAGGGTTGGCGCTAGAAGATTGAAAGATCGGTGGTCTCTTTTGTGAATGTTGATTGTTCTGCCATTCTTGAACACTAATTATACTTGAATTTAAAGCAATTGAATCAGAAATACATGTTGATGGTACTTGTACAGGTTGCGTTAGAGAGTGATTGGTTTGCTCGGTTATATTGCACAAGAGTGATTCTCCTTGAAATTCACCCTGCAAGTATGAGACATATACGACATAGGGTCAGGTCCAGGGGAAAACCTCAAACAAATGAAAAACTAAGAAACATCCTGGTAACCGTTCATTTGCACGGTATGCATAGCGCATACAAGTAATTTGTAAGCAATTTGTCCGGTATGCACATGTGCATAACATGCTTACGTGCATTAAAACCAAAAACAACTTTAATTACTTGTATGCATGTGTATACCGTCGAGATGAATAGTTATCAGAGTGTTCCCCAATTTTCATTCTTTTTGGGTTTTCCCTCGAACCTCCATTATATGACATAAGGATCAAATGCTCATAATTTTACTACAGGGGTAACATGTAAAAAACCATCTTTGAGGATGCGTTTGTACGCAGACAGGACTGGACGGGCAAGAGCGAGGTAGTCTAGTGAAAAAACTGTGGTGGATTTTGGGTTAGTTTAGTAATTTACCAATCTTGTCTCATCTCCTTGATTTATGTTCCACCTATTTTGGTGGGACAGAACAAAAATGCATTTTTGTCCCAAGATCTGTTCTGACCGGTCTAATGTCAGGTCAAACGTGGGACATAAAAATTTTTTGTACCGTTTTGTCCTGTCTGATCACGCAATACCAAATGCACCCCAAAAGTCATGCTAAAAAGATGATGTTTATACGCGTACCAGCTCTGAGAGAGGTGACATCCTCTGTTTTGAGCCAAATTGTGATTGCGGGAATCCTCTAGTATCATCAAGATTTTCTTGATGAATCTGAGTGCATCCTTCATTCTGCTGTTCGAACTTTGTGACAACTTTTCTAGAGTTTACCATATCTGTTTCTCTACATTCCGATGGAATATTTTCCGGTCCTCCTGGGATGCAAGCACTACCACTTGTATGGTATCTGTTCTCATTCTCAGAAGACCCACCAAGATGTCCAGGGACCCCTGTATGAACAATGTTCTTAATGTTATCAAAATAAGAACACAAAAGGATCAAACATCGATCTATTGTCATCTTCGGACATGACACAAAGATTAATTTCGATAAAGTCGATAACTTTTCTTTCAGTCAGATTTTCTTGTATCATATAAAGTAATAATTGTTATACCTGCCAGTTTGTTTTGCTCGATTTCAGAATTCGCTTTTCCTTTACTCACCAACTTTGTTTTTACACAAGGGGAAGTAGTTCCATCATGAACCACCTTCTCAAAATTCTCCATATCATTTTCAGATTCATATTCAAATCCTTCAAACCAGTAAGAAGGATTACGGAATTGCTTTTGAACCCTCCGAGATAACCTGCTAGATGGATTATTCAGTCTATGATGACTTTCTTTGACCAAATTTGTCCAGAAAACAAGAGGTTCATTTTCCATCAAGTATTCTTCAATTGAGGAACTTTCCTTTGTGTGGGCTTCAGTTTCACCAAATAATAAGATATTTCTAGCATAAGTTCCATCGCACAGCCGTGCATTCAATATTACCGAGCCATTTAAAAGATCATTATCGCCATTCTTGTTCCGCAACAGGGATGACAACTTTCGAACCAAATCATCTATAAATGATG